TGTGTATAACACCCAGTACTCCGTGCAATATGTGCCCTCCTTAATACCCATCACTGGGCTAACCCATCCCCCCACCCCCCAGCATGTAATTTTTTAATATGGATATGTGCTTTTATTACTCTTGGGTGTATGCCTAAGAGTGGAGTTAGTGAGCCATATGGCAATTTTATGTTTAACCATTTGAGGAACGGCTAGACTGCTTTCACAAGTGGCTGCGCCATTTTATTTCCACAAGCAATGTATGAGCGTTCTGATGTCTCTGAATTCTCACTAATGCTTGTTATAATCTGTCTTCTGATTATAATTATCCTAGTGGGTGTGAAGTAGTAGCTTATTGTGGTTTTAACTTGCATTTCTCTGATGATTGAGCATCTCTTTGTGTATTTGTATATCTTTTTTGAGAAATATCTATTTAGATCATTTCTCCATTTTTAAATTGGGTCGTCTTTTTGTTGTTGAGTTGCAATAGTTCTTAACATACTCTGGATACAAGTCCCTTATTAGATAAATGATTTGCAAAATCTTTTCCCATTGTGTGGGTTGTCTTTTCTCTTTTTTGATAGTGACCTTTGAAACACAAAAGTTTTTAATTTGATGAAGTCAAATAATTTCTTTCATTGTTTGTGCTTTTGGTGCCATATCTATGAAACCATTCCCTAACCCAGGGTCACAAAGATTTACTTATATTTACTCCTATGAGTTTTATAGTCTTAACTCTTATATTTACATGTGTGACCCATTTTGAGCTAATTTTTGTGTATGGTGTGAGGTAGGAGTCCACCTTCATTCCTTTGCATGTGGATATCCAGTTGTCCAGACCCATTTGTTGAGTAGATTCTTTACACATTGAATAGTCTTGGCACCCTTGTTGAATGAAAACCAGCTTTTGTTTATCAGCACCAATAGGATTCTAGGATTTGGGTTTTTGTCTATTTATTAGGTTTCTATGTTATAGAAAAATATTCCACTTTTGAAGGACCAAAAGCATCTACAAAGATACACATAAACACAGACATCCAGAGACTTATACAGATTCACTTGCATGCACAGTCTCTCCTTTACCAAGGACCCATTTGTATCTTTTAACACCTAGAGTACTAATATTGGAAGAAGGAAGTAAGTTGAAGCCTTGATTCATATGATTGCAGCACTAAGTCAGTTATAATAGTTCATCTGCCATATGCCAATAGCTAATTAGTTTACGACAAACTGTTTATACCATTTCACTTTTTGATGGGTAAGTATGTCATCATTGGCTTTCTTAAATGTTGCGGTATCCTAGTCATGCACAGAATTAGAAAGGTTTATGGAACGATGCATCAGTTTTATGCTGGATAGTTACCAGGGCATTAGAGAAGGAAAAGGAAAACATGTCCAGTCTTTCAAGTCTTTTGTTACAGGAGGACTTGGGTGGCAAGTGGTTTCTCAAAATGAGGAACATGGAATGGTAGGGTCATTGATCAATGGGTGTTTTTAGAACTCAGCTTGTTTCATAGTCTCAGGAGGCAGAAAGTAGTTATGTAGTTTAACTTCCCAGCTGTAGGCGGGCCACCTAATTATTCACTTGTTCAATGAAGATTTACTGAGCACACTACATGCTGGGCATTGTGCTAGGTGCTGGGGGTATCCATGATGGTTTTCAGTACTTTCTACAATACTCATTACAATATAAATGTAATATGAAGAAAGGGTAAGTGCCACAGAGAAGGCAGTACCATGGATGCTAAACATGGGTCAAGGTGCCTGCGTTTGAATGTCAGCTCTGTGTGGTTTCTGAAGAGTCACTTCTCAGCTTTCTATAAAATGGGAATAATCACAGTATATACATTTTAGAGTTCTTGTGTGGATTAAACATGATGATACAATCCATGCTTAGAACCTGGGTCATAGTAAATACTCACTAAATCAGTAAATGTACATGGTACTGGATATTCTCTAATTCTGTATATTTAAAATGGATTTTTTTTTCCTCTAGAGAGTTAGGGATGAATTGGATTCTTTTCTCTTTCAGTTTCAATTGTAAAAGGAATAGGTTTCATGGTAAAAGATTACATAATGGTGAAATGTTAGATTAAAATGCAAAGATCCTTTTCTTTCTTTTTTCTTTTTAAAGATTTTGAGAGAGCGTGTACAGGGGTGCGAGGGGGCGGGGAAGGGGAGGAGTGGAGGGGGAGAGAGAGGGACAAGCAGAGTCAGCACTGAGCATAAGCCTGATGCTGGGGCTCAGAGGACCCTGAGATCATGACCTGAGCCTAAACCAAGAGTCTGAGGCTTAAACAACTGAGCCGCCCAGGTGCCCTCTTTTTCTTTTTTCCTTTTTTACCTCCCTTCAGTACCAATTCTCCAGAGGCAGCCAAACTCAAGTTTCTTGTTATCCCTCCAAATATATTCTCTGCATCTAACGATGTTTATACATAGACTGTGAGGTTTGTTTTAACACAGTGGGGTCATGGTACACATATACTCTACTAGAGTTTTAAAAAATTAATACTATGACCTGATTTTTTTTCTATATCTGTCCACATAAATCTGTGTTTTCTTCTTTTTTTTTTTTTAAAGATTTATTTATTTATTAGAGTGAGAGCTCAAGCACGAGTGGGGGAAGGGGCAGAGGGAGGGAAACCCAAACAGACTCCCTGCTGAGCGTGGAACCCTACGCAGGGCTTGATCTGAGGACCCTAAGATCATGATCTGAGCCAAAACTGAGAGTCAGATACTTAAGTGACTGTGCCTCCCAGGCACCCCTATTCCAAATATTTAAATGGACATACTTACAGTAAAAAAGCAGACAAAGAGTTTAATTCTCTTTGAAGTGAAATATTTTCAGGACAGTGAAAAAAATGAGCCAAAATAAAATTGTTTTTTTCCACAAGCAAAAACATATTCATTGTTTATCTGAAATTCACAATTAACTGGGAACCCTGTTTTTTAATTTCCTAAATCTGGTGATGTTAATCACACACACTGTCTAGCCTGGCTTTAAGAAACTTACCAAGCAAGAATCCTTTAAATTTAGCTTTGTCATTCCATTTAAAAAAAATAGTGCATACATTACATTGTATAACCAAGAATCTAAACTGATAACGTCATTTAAAAAAAATCAACTTATGGGGCGCCTGGGTGGCTCAGTTGGTTAAGCGACTGCCTTCGGCTCAGGTCATGATCCTGGAGT